TAATTCCTCATTTAATTTTTATTTTTGAATAAATTTCACTTATGATTTTTAAAAATAGGTATCCAAATATTAATTAGTCGCATTTTTAATATTTATATTTTTATATTATGCTCTACTGTTGTATCGAGCACTGATTTTTAGAAATGAAAATAAATGCTAAAAACTTTTATTATTTTAGCACACACACATATATATATATATATATATATATACTAGTCAGGCATTCTATTCTGTGATCTGTGTTTTAGCGTTAGGAAAAATGTTCTTTTTATTTTCGACAAAATCTTTTGTTGTCAGTCTTTTTGCTTCAAATTTCATTAAGGAAATTCTTTAAAATTGATAAAAATCGATGAAGAAATATGTGGCGAAGATTTGAATGGAATATAACATCTTTTTTCCTATCTGACGATTTCGGCAAGATCTTTAGTTCCATCAAATTTTCTTTTTTATGCATTTTAACTTAGGATCTTTGCAAAAAGAAAATAAAAATAAACCCAGCGTAGCACTAAATAGGTGTGATTTTCCCAAATATCTCTTCACTACCTCTCTGTCCTTCATCGTAGCATAACTGGCAATTGTACAAATCGGGGCGATGGGAGGGAGTCACTGTCATGTCTCTCCCAAGGGGATTCGTGTTAACCAAGCATAAGCTTTCGGGCGAACTTTAAACTAGGTCTACCGATGCTGTATTCTATGCAGATAAAAGCTACGCCCCCACCCGTAGTAATTCCAATTCAATTGCAATTTGAGATTAAGGAGTTTTATATTTCTTCAAAAGCGGATAAGAAAATCCGCACAGCCATGGAACAGCCGAAAAGAAAAATCTTTCCTACTCATAAAAGGATCGTACAAATTAATTATGCAATCCGATATACCTGAGGCTACAGCCATCAATAAGGAGGAGACTGCTGTAGACCCGTACTTTATATACGTCGGACAAATAATTCGCTAGTTCGATCCTTATCCGCCATATTTATATACTCAAGGTATATGGTTACTGATAAAACAAGTATGAATTCCGACTTATTTAAAGAAGTAAGGGAGTACAAATAAAAAGATTTGAAATTGGCAGGGTTTTCCATTTCACTGAAGCAGACGTGAAACGCCTGAGAGTATCATCGCCTTCTCTATGTACCCTTCCCTTCTTTTTCTTGCTGAATAAAAGCCACTCTGATATCTCGTTCCATCTTTCTTCTCGAACAAAGTGGAATAACCCATAATTTATGAGGTGATTCCGGCAATGTCCCGTCGAACTACCGAATTGCGTTCAAAGTACATTTAGTTGAAGCCATTTTGTTTAAAATACTCATATTTCGGCATTAAATGACCCATAGAAGTGTTGATATGCCGCTAAACAAAATCAACCAAATTGATTAAAATAATGAATCCAGTGCCATCCATTTTCGAGGCCGGTTCAACCCTGAAACTGGAGGCAACATTATAAAAATATAAAAATACATTTTTATAGTAAATATTTCCAGCAATATATTTTAATAGAAAAAAAAACAATGCTCCCAAGAAAATTAAATTACATCATTAGTAGTTGATATGCCGTTATTAGTATGGGTGTATCAGCCACACAGAGTTTACTGACTATTCTGTGTTAGGAAGAATAATGCGTTTTATCCTTCCAGTAGCACACCGATACTAATATTAGCATTAGTATAGCCATTGATACACTAACACTGAATACGAATATAGAAAGGCGAAATACGCGAGCGTAACAAACAAAGCATTTAATAAGGCAAACAACTTACGTACATAAAAAGATTTACATATGTCCCAAAACAAATGATTGTCCATATTGTCCCAAAGGAATGAGGAGGTTTACAGAATTAGAACAAAGAAATAACATACCAACTTTATGGCCTTTGATCGTCCGCAGATAAGTGAACAGAAAGTACGTTTTTGTTTCGCTAGGCCGTACACATGTTGACCAGTTTCCACGTGTGTGGGCACCCTGGTGGTCAGGAAGGCAAAGAGGCCGTTCCTCCCAAAACGGAAGTAAAGACAAAAAAGGGCAGAAGAGTTCTACTCTCTAAAAAGGGGCCAAAACTCTCATGAGCTAAACCCAAGGGAAAACAACTGCGGTCACCCTACACCGTTAACCACACCAAACCAAAATATACGCAGTAGATGTTTCAAATTTAAGGTCTGGAAAGACAAAAAAAAATGTATTGAACTCTTATGTCATGTCTGTCCTCCTATATGACAGTGAATGCTGGACAATCTTCTCAAAAACTAGGAGACTTGAAGCGACCAAAATATGGTTCTACTGAAAGATGCGGACCGAACATGTGAGCAACGATGAGGTTTTGGAGAAAATGGATACAAAATGGAAACTTATCTTTAACATCAGGAAGAGGCAGCTGAAATTTCTAGGGCACGTAATGAGGAAGGAGGGCTATGAAAATCTGATACTCACAGGACAGACTGAGGGAAAGAGTGTCAATGGAAAGCAGCGCGTAATTTAATAATTGAGCTTTATTAAATTGGTGGTAAAACCGGGTTCAGGAGAAATAACAAAACATAACCTATTAAGAGCTGCAATGAACAGCATGATGTGGAGGGCCATGATCGTCTACGTCCTGAAGGGACATGGCACATAAAAGAAGAAGAAAAAAAGTTACCTTAATAAATATTAAAGTCGCTTCGACTAAGAGAAATGGTTTGTAAGCTAGATTCATAAACCCTTCCTACCGTAGCGAGTTCGATTTTCAACAGGTGATTTATTCTTGTGACCTTGTAAGAAAGTAATCTAAATTAAGCAAATAGCTGCAACCATCTGTCAAGCAACGAAGGAACAGTAAATGTTTGGCTGCACAAACTAAATTGAAACCCCTGATGTGGCAAACAGCTGGCAAACAGAGATGTCGTCAGCGTATGGCTGCATCTGGTAAAAGTATCAGATTTTTCCCCTGGAATGTTGTAGAATCTATAACGAAGCAGCTGTTGGCTATGCCTCACCATTTTTAAGATTTAATGGATCCAATGTATGTATATGTAATGCTAAGAATCCATCGCTGCGGAGCAGAGCTTAAAAATACAATCAGAAATACACTCACTACTCTATTATATACATTTTTTTTTCTCGTTTGGGTTCCATCTTGCACATTTACCAATCTACCATTCGTCCGTGCATTGAATATTGCTGTCATATCAGGTCTGGTGTTCCTGCTATTCATCTCGAGGTTCTAGACAAAATCCAAAAAGTAATCAGTAATGTCATCAATCCTGACTTGAAATCTCGTCATCAGTCACATTCTCACCGTCGTGACGTGGCTTCACTCTATCTTTTCTTTAAATATTTTCATCGCAACTGCACTGACGAGCATTTTTCCCCTGGTTCCCCGAATACATGAATTCAAGAATGCTACTAGATTGGCATCTAGGTCCCACCGTCTCACTGCTGAAATAGTTAAATACAACCGTTTCCAAAAGTTTCTTTTCTAGCACTTTCTACTTGTGGAACTATCTTCTGTTTACTTGCTTCCATGATAAATGCAATCTTCAAAATTTTAAATTCAACGTCAATCGCCATATTCTATCCCCTTGAATCCCGCTCATATTTTTCTTTGCTTAATCCTCCCCACACTCATTTTCGTTCACTTTCACCCCTGTAATCCCCTGCGTACTAGTGGCACTCCTGCTTTGCTTGCGGTAAAATGATATAAAAAAACAAGAAAAATGATTTGACCTTACCTCAGGTCAAATCTAAGAAGACTATGAGGCCGTGTAGCTATGGATAACAAGCTGGTATCGCAGGGTATTACTGCTGAAATATGTTCGATTCTAACCGGGTGCTTTGTATTTATGACCTTGTATCTGGAATACAATAAATTTAGAAGATATCTTGGCTTTCCGTGGAGTTATTTATCGATCTAATCTTGAATTCCTACTGAACTGAATTCGATTCTCACACTGCCTTTGTATTTGTGACCTTGTGTCGAGAATAATATAAACTTAAAAAATATTTAGTCTGCCTTGTTATGAAGCTAGTTAAGCTAGTAAAGAGCTCCTAGTGAAGTGAGTTCGATTCTCACAGTGACTTTGTTATGGTCTTCTGCCTAATTACAATAACTTTAACAAATGTCATTAGTTCTTTGATGTGGAGCTAATTTCACAAAGCATTTGTGGCACATTTTTAATTATCTTCCCAAGATTTATGTGATTGTTTCCGGAGTCGCCATCTTGCCGCGCGGTCACCATTTTGTTGCACAATAACGTCACAGAAAAGTTTTTTCTTGGTTTGTGTCGTATCCTTAAAGAGGTTGCAATTAGACAAAGGTGGTACTCGAGTGAAGAAACAGCAACACACGCATAGATGAAAGAAAGTGAAGTTTATTGTAAAAGAGAATACACTACTGAAAGACAGGGAATCGGGTGGGAGGCTAGTAATTTCTGAAGCAAGGATATTTGCCAACCGCCTCACGCGGTCAGGTGTGGCACAAGGCCGAGTTTAACGTCGGGTATCCCCGTAGACCCCGTAAAAAACGGGGTCGGGTAGCTATCTACTACCCCAGATGAGACTCTGCCCTTCGGCATAGCCTTGTCTGTGTTCCTCCCTGCCCGAAGGCAGAGAGTTCGACAAGCACAGCTGGAAATGAATCTCCAACTAATTGCGGAAGCAAGGTTATTTACCTCATCCCCACCCCTGCCCGCGAGGTAGGATGTGGCAGAAGGCCGTTATTTAATGCTGAGGCGGTGAGTTTGACTAGCTTAGCTGGAGATTCGTCTCCAGCTAAGCTAGTCGAAGCTATATTTATTGTATCTAAAAATACAATTATGGCACAAGGCCAACAAACGAAAGGGGTTGAGGCTGGTCTTCACTAACTATCCTGTTATTTAATAGACATTATTTCTTACGGATTACATTCTTATACCAGCGCCATCTAAAAATGACAGAAATGTCAACTAACGAACTCGACTGGAATTCGAATTTGGCTCTCTGATTTCCCATCTGAGAATCCTATACATTACACCATCCGCACACCCAAGCGTACAGAACATGATATTCCCAAGCGATCACCCATTACAATACTGAACAGGCTCCACATTGCTTAACTTCGGTGATCGTACGATGTTTCAACGTGATGTGGCCGTAAGCCAGTAAAATCTGTAAAAAAAAAAAAATCGAAATTAGTTTTTATGCTGCCTAATGACAGTGAGATTCAAAGATTTTTTGATGAGAAATAAGCCACGATAGTTGTTCTAAAATATTCTGACTAGTTTTGTTGTTGCTTGAAAAGATGAATGACAGATGAAAAATCCTTCTGATAATTCCGATTTTGACAACCATTTGATTTAAGCATTGCTCATGACCCTTGACTTCTCAATTTAAAAATTAGATATTCCTTCGAAGCTATTTCTTTATCTTGAATTTTTGGCAGTTAATAGTAACAACCAAAGAATTAATCAGCTGATAAATTACGATAATGAATCTCATGAGAGATATTAAGGCATTACGAAAATCATTGCCAAGTTGATTATATGTATTTTCTTTACGGTAATTCGCCATTTATAATACAAATTTTTCCTAAAAAAAAAAATAATAAGCAAAACTAGAGGTAAGTATTATGCAAAGCTATAAAAGATCTTTAAAAAATTTTAGTTCCATATTTCGATTTCAGTTGCGAAATGACTATTCACCACAAACATAGGAAAATTTGACACTAACATTAGGCAATTGCGATCCTATAAGGATGTAAAATACAATCATATGTACCTAACAATACTTACAAATGTAAAATAAAATAAGAATTATCATAAAACTAAATCAGAATAATATTATTCTATGTTTAAAACCATTTTATGGGAAAAACTACATACAGATCCGGTAGATTGCACATTTTATCCAAAAAACAAAACAAAACAGGTTAATGAGTCTGCGCAGTAGGCACAATATAGGTATTTCCGTTTCCTTTTAGAAATTTGATGATCGGAAATTTTGATAAATATCTTCAATTATAGCCTGAATAAATGTAGGAAACGCTGGCCGTAATGAAATTGGAGAGGTACAATTTATAGGGTTTGATTACCAAAACAAGAAGTGCGTATTATGCGTGAATAGAAGCATTTATCCAGAATTTTAGATGTGCGTATTATGGATGAAGGCGTATTATACATGAAATGTATAATTACATTACGGAATTACGGTATATAGAAATCGTTAAAAAGCGTAAAAATTCCTTCTTGGGGGAGTTTCTAACGCATGGCTTATCATCTCTCAGTTGCGTCTCTGTCTTTGGGCAGAGTGTGCTCAGGGGTTTCACTGTCAAAGGAGGGAGGGGCAACTGAGGAAAATAATACTGAAGAGGTGCCCAGCCCTGGGGAACAGCTGCCCGAGGGCGAGCCCTCCCATTGCACCAGAGAGAGGGATCGGTGCTCGCACCCAAAGCCAGCGCAACCGACGGTTGCGTGAGCTGAGGACGTTTTCTTCTTGTCCCGGACGTATGCTCGGGTCCCCACCTAAAAATAGACCTTGTGTCACATCTCGTCCAAGTCGGGGGAAGGAGTTAATACCGTATATTGAAATCAAATAACAACTGAATATTTCACTAATTCCCGTTTATTTTGTGCGATTCATTATTACTAGTAGCGCCCGAGTCACGGTTTTTTATTTGAATTTTCTGTTTAAGCATAATTCTTAATTTAACGACGGAATAAGCTCTTTGGGTCTTCCATGACTATAAAATAGTCATAGAACTTGCATGCTATTTAACGATAGCATAGAGGAATTTTTAACGGGTATTTTATACCGTGGAAATTACCCTATGGCATCGTTAAATGTTTGAGCTCATTGTCTTTAATGAAACATTGCAATAATAATCATAAGTATAAATTCAGTTAGTTATTTAAAAAACTAAGAGGTTACAAATGAAAATATTCACTGAAGCAGACGTGAAACAAATGAGAATGTCTTCGTATCCGCTGTTTTCTTTCTTTTTCTCGCTATAAACAAGCAACACCTTTGATATGGTCTTCTTCAAGATCAAAACGGAATAGTTCATCATTTATAGAATATTTGTAGGAATATTCCCGCAATATCCCGCCGAATCACAGAATTTAAGCAACGCCGTGCTTGGTCAGTACCTAGATGGGTGACTCCAACAAAATACCATATAGATGGTGTAATGGATAACAGTTCGAATTAGAGTCGAATTCATCATACAGTGTAACCCGGATATAAGAGAGTTGTCGGGACCGGAGACGAAGTCTCTTATATCCGGGTTTCTCTTATATCCGGGTTTGGTCTGTTTTGTTTAGGTAAGTATCTAATTTGGGACCAGATACAATCTCTCTTATATCCGGGTTACACTGTATAACTTACTGGAAAAGGCATGAATCCATCTCTCCCCCACTTTTAGGTGTGTGTTAAATATTAGAGCAAACTGGACCCTATAGCTCTGCTTGTCAACCAGTCTAAGTGCAGTTAGTAACGGAAGTCTGCTGCTGGAATTATTCGGTTGTCAATCATGAACCGAAAAGAGACATGTTCGCCCAAGTGTGTATCGTGCATGACAACTAAGCAAGATTGACTGAGGGTAACGTATGTCCTAAATACATAACTATGGAACTAGAAGAGCTATAGGAATATCTTGTTTCGTTTTTACTTTTTTTTTCACGATTAAAAGGTTTTGCCTACTTAATTGCCCTGCGCGTACGATGGAAATTAGTGTACGTATAATTTTGTTGCATGTGTATAAACTTTGTGAAAAATGAATGTCAGACATCTCGTAACTTTACTCAAACGTGGGGAGGGAAGATACCATTTCCTAATATTCAGTTGCTCATAGATCTCTGAGACAACGGAATTGATATGAGTTTCAAAGGTGAGAAAAGCAGAAGGGTACCCTGCCTCAGTTGCGAATGATCGATTGAAAGATTTACTCGAAGAGAATTCTGTGTCCGAGGAACGGGCCTAATATTAAACGCTTTACTTTCAACATTTTCATCACATTGTTCAGCAAATGGGAAAAGCAAAACAAAACATAAATCTAATTGCACGACATTAATATTTCTAAATCTGTAATTATTTTTCTATCATCCCAATATTTAATGGGATATGACCAAAATGATATCTTAAAGAAAGTGGCAATAATAAACGTGTAATTGCATTGGCAACTGTCATGGAACTCCAAGGCATAATTCTCGAAATGGCTTAGCAAGACATTTATTTACTGCTTCCCACAAGCTCCTTTCATCGATAATCATCCTCGCAGTTGATGGACCTTCTGGTGAACATACAGACGATTTAGTGTTTCTTCTGTCATTGTAAGTGTAGACTAGCAATAGAATCATGGTAAAATTGTTCTACAACTTCGAGATAATCGGCTTGAACGGATTTATGAAACTAGTTGATCGTGATGTGTCACTCGTTATTCTATAATCTTTTGCGTTGAAACTAATGATTATCAATTTCCTTCATCAAATTAATCCTATTACTAAAAGCCCCATTTCAGCACACAAGGTTCAGGTAAATGACTTCCATACTTTACAAATCATTCTAAAATCTAATACATCGAACTAGCAAATTCAATATGCAAGACGTCTAGTAACATTAACTGGTCGATCCTTTTTTTTTAAAAAAAAAAAAATACGTCTTCACTGCTCAGCGATGCTTCGTTTTTTGACATGTGTAAAAATTACCACGAGTTCGTGAGAAAAACTGTTACTTCGAATTAAAAAAAAAAACTTTCCTTTTTCCGGACAGCATGCTAGCCAAAATTGGAAAGTCAAGTCTCCCCTGTTACTTAATCTATAACTGGGAATCGAAAGAGGATCCATTCTTCTCTCAAAGAAGTGCATTTATTAAAAGCAATTTGAGCTCAGTCTGCTGCTCACTCCTTAAAATAGCCGTTGCACTACCTGCACATCACCACATCTGTAGTATATGGAAAAGGAGGAAAAACGTCTCTTATACTTTTATTCATATCTTTGAAGAGTAGCTTATAAAGTCAGAAGTGTAGAGGAACTAAGTGAGGATCGAACTCACTACTGTAATAATGTTCCACAAGATCTTGATCAGCATTATTGTACAGCGCTACATTAATATATATTATCTAAGTACATTAGCTTAACATACAGAGATTCATAGTTTATTTTAGTTTTACACGTGGTAGAGTGAAAGAAAAGCACGAAATCGGTTTATATGATTTATGTATGCGTATGATTCCTCTTATATGGGACGATTTCTTAGGTGATATGGGTCTTCACTATTTATTGCCCTAAGTAATGTTTATCCCCTTATTATACCTCCACGTTCATGTTTTACCATCTATCTATATTAGTTTTACAAAAATACGTGTGATTAAGTAACCTAAAATTTAAAAGCGTATAAAAAGACAGATATAAAGATACTTGTTATTTTTTTCAATACATTTGAACCTCTTGAGTTTATTTCATTATTTTTCTTTTACATACACTTGTGCGGTATCACCTTTGCCTCGAATTCAGCTTGTACTACGGCCCGACGCTTGATTGATTTCGTCTACCTAGGATCAAATCACAACGTGGGTAGGTTAGACTAGAGATCAAAACAGTTATTTCGGTAACCAGATGTTGGAGGCGAGCTAGGAACGACAAAGCTGATATCGACTCTAACCAGGCATCGACCAAGACAACCAGAGGGGTTAGTGTCACACGTGGTTCCGTGGTAAACCAGATTTCCATCCGAACCAGCCAAGAATTAGATCGTCACGGATTGTGTTGCAATCAGCCCAGGGTTAGAGTGGGTCACAACCTATCTATATTAGTTTTATAAAAATACGTATGATTAAGTGACCTAAAATTTAAAAGCGTATAAAAAAGTGACTACCTAATCACAGTGGTAGAGATAAGCAAGACTCATATAAAACAATTGCCGAATCCTGATACTCTACTGCCTTCCATTCTCCCTCTAACCAACATTTCAGGTCAAGCGAGAACTTTCAGCCAAAGCAATCGATGTTTCCGTTATATTGTCTACATTCTGCTACAAGATGACTGGTCGCCAAAGTTAAAGCAGTTCATTACACTGGGTTCTTCGTCAAATTTATTAATATAAGTTTACCTCGCCATATTATTTACTAGAACATAGACCATCTTGTTAATGATTAGATCACG